CAGGACGACAGCCCGGGTGCAACCGCCGCTGCCATGTCGAGCTTTATGCATTTATCTGACAGCCCTGAGCAGAGGTCTGAAAACATGCAGGGGGCAGGGGGGCACGAGGGGGGAGGGCGGCGCACATTGCGTCATGATCACCGTGCTTCACAGGTCAATGCCGCCCCGCCATGGAGCGGGCACCGGTCCTGCTGATCCCCCTTGGCAGGCTCACCGTCATACACCCCACAAAGGTGCGATTACCTAGATTATTGCTGCTTTGGGGAGGGTAACTCACATGATGCGGCGTCTAGCTTGCTCCAAATCGCCGATGCCGCCTCGCGCTCAGATGGCGACGAAGCCGTGACATATGAGCTGCACAAAAGGCGAGTCTCGCTGTCGAGTCCCCTACACCAGTCGCGCAGGGCCTCCCCATCAGCCCTCCTCGCAGCCGGAACAATGCAGACCAGCGCTGCGAGCAGGAGCGTGCGCGCAGGCCACCACCTCATAGCAATCACCGTTGCATATTTATATAAAATTCCCGTGAACAGATGTCCGCGGGTGCTTGTGTTCAGAGCAACCCCCACCGTGGCGACACCAGCTGCCACAATCGCTTCGCCTTGGGCCAACCCAATATGCCCAATTACCTCATTGTCGCGGGCCGCTGCCATGCCTCTAGATAAGACCTCTAAGCAGACTTCCTACCATTGTTGAAGTCATGAAAGTATACTTCAACTACCTTGGAGTTGTAGTCGGCCGACACCGTCTCACCGGGGATCCGCAGTAACAAGTGTGCGGCAAGCAGCAGAATGCACAAAGCGAGTGGAGTATCCCTGCCCGTGACCTGTCCGCCGATACTTGCAAGTCAGGATGCTTGCGTGCAGAGAACGTGATGAGTCTCCTGAGCTCAAGGCGGGACGTCCCGAACCGGGCGCTTCACTCCAACCAGCGGTTGCTGGTGAAACCCCCAAACAATGACAGTTCACGGCCATGGCATTGAATTGAACTGCAACATGTGCATCAGGTGTGTGTCCCGTGCGCATGCTTGTGCCCGTGCATGGAGCCGATGGGATCCGACGTTCATTGGACCAGCACCTGTGACACGTGCTGCATGAGGTGGCCGGCACCGTGCGCGACAACAGATTAGGCGCATTACATTGGATTACGGTACATCATTCCCATAAAACTCATACAGTTTACTCGGCTACCGTCGATTTTGCTGCGTCGTGTGTCGCTCTTTTCCGAGCTATCCGTCAAAGGATGCTTCCCCCGTGTCCCTCTTGCATGTAGGCGCAGCAGTTTCGATGTGGTTGCTGCAGCTAGAGCCGGATCTGGCGCTCCTGCAGTCGGCACAGGCAGCGCTGGAGAGCAGCGGCTTGCACATCGCGGCCACGTCGGCGGACGACGGATTTCTTGTGCTGAGCTTGGGGCATGACATCAAGACAGCGGGCCTGGCAGAAGAGGTGTCGCAATGCTACCAGGTCGTCGAGCGTGTTCAGGTGCGGGGACGCGTTCCTGTCCCTGCATAACCGCCCCCCCCCCCTCGCCCTTTGCGACGCTCAGCCAGTGCCCGTCTTTTGCGCGAAGGTGACCGACGAAGTGGCCGCGGCAGCAGCGGCAGCGGTGGCGGCGCTGAGGTGGCGCGGCGGCGAACCTGCTGCTGTTGCAGTGGGGGAGCCCCTCATCGACGCCCTGGCCAGGTGGCTGGCATGACGCCACGGTGGAGCTCTCTGCGCACATGCTGACGCAGCGGCCTTGCCGTACCCCTGTGCGTAACGCTTTCTATTCAATGATTGCAATTGAGAATCTCATCTCGCTTCTGGTCTCACCCTGTCAGCAGGCGCCCGTTTGACACCCGCCCTCGCAACCTCGGACGCGCGCGCAGGGCCGGCCTGCTGAGGGCCAGCTTCCCGCTCCGCGACCCCGCAACGCTGCACCGGCTGCGCGCCAGGGCCCTGCGGAGCGTGCTGCTGCCTGCCACCGCCTTCAGGTCATGCCACCCCTGGCACAGGGGCACATGTCTCAGGGAGCAATCGCATGCAGCCGGCCGGCCGCGTGCCGCGTTCGTTCTTGCGGCACGTGTCTGTCGCTCGCCCCTCGACGGGGCTCAGCTGTTTGTGTTCAGCGCTCCCTCCACGTGTTCAGCGCTCCCTCCACTTTCAATTGATGAAAAGCGTGTCTCAAAGGCCCCCTGACAAAATTCCACCGCAGGTCCTACTTTGGTGATTGCATAGGATTCTACTGCGCCTTCGCCAACGCCGTCCTGGCCTGGCTCCTGGCGCCGGCCGTGCTCTCGGCGTACCATGCTCTGGCCGCCTGCAGACGAGCAGGTGCGACCACCGGGGGTGCACATGCTCTCGCATTCGTGCGTAGCGCCGTGCAGTGATTTGACATGTACTGGTTGAGCAAGCTGTGCTGACGCCCGCAGCCTGTTCTGTCGGACGGCCTTTGCTTTCACAGCTGTGCGTCATCGCAGCTCCGAGTGACGACGCGGTGCGGCCGCCCTTCGAGTGCGCGTCACCTTGAAGCACACGCGTGCGTGCGCATCGCAGGCGGCGTTGTCCCCAGCGACGACCCGTGGGCGCCGGTGGTCAGCTGCTTCTGCGTGTTGTGGGGTGCCCTGGGGCTCAAGCTGTGGGTCCGCCAGGAGGCGTGGCTCGCGCTGAGGTGCGCTGGGCGGGGTCTGGCTGGTGCAGCGCGCTGCTCTACTTCATGGCGCACCATCATTGCTGTGGCCACGGCCCCCGTGCCAGCAAGAAGGGGCTGTGAGACAAGGCAGCGGCCGTCGCCCTGCCAGCAGTTGCCGGCCCGGCGCGCTTGCCTGGTCCTGCGTACCGGGGAATACGGGCTTTCCAGTGTCGTAGCCCTGGCCCCACACTGAGGCGGCGCGCATGCACACGCGTGCGCATGCCTGGACCCACAGGTGGGGGGTGTCCCCCTTGTCAGCAGAGCCCGGCAGGGACGACCTGGCGCCCGGCTTCCGAGGTGGGCTTGCTGGCATTCACAGCCACAAGTGTTTTGAACAGGCTTGGCTGCGGTTGCGGCCGGCGTCCTCCAGCAGGCCGCACGCACGCCCCGGCTCTCCCCCCTGCCTGACAGCAGACTAATCGACGGGCCGTTGAACCGCTCCTCACAAACATAAGACACGCAGAACAGTCATTGCTCACTCGGCCCTTGCTGACCGCGCAGGCTACCCGCGCCGCAGCCCGGTCACGGGGGCGGTGGAGCTGCATTACCCGGCCCTCAGGCGCGCCGGCCGTGCTGTCCTGAGCGCGGCCGCGACCGCGTCGCTGCTCGCGGCTGCCGCGGCCCTGCTGACCTGCCTGCTCAACTTCCAGGTGCGCTAGGGGATGTTGGGGCGTCTTGTTGCAGGGACGCCCGAACGCCGCGAGAATGGGGAAACGTTGCTGTTTCCGTCTGTGAGCTGCAAATCCCTGGCCTGCACTTGTAGTGCATTTTGGTGTGACACACGCGGGCGGCTGCGCGGTCTTCAAATACCTGCAGCAGAGGAGAATTTTTGGCACTCCAGGCAGCAGGCATTGATGGGCCCCCAGCTCTTCCTCCCAATTTCCTGCTGGCCGTGACGGGTTCATGTTGCCCGCACTCATGCTCTGGCGCTCGGCTGCTCGCCGCCGCCACGCAAAACATGGCACCGCCGCACGGCCTGACAGGGCTCCATTAACGAGCGGCACTGGTGGCTCTACGTGCGGCCGCTGGCGGCGTTGCGGGGCCCGGGTGAGCTGCTGCCGTATTTGGGAAGGCCGGGACGCCGCCAGCAACCCCAGGAAGCACGCGACACAGCACTTGCCCTGTCTGATGCCTGGACCCTGCAGTCAGTCGCAGCAATGCACGGCCCACTTGCAGGCAAGCCCTGCTGCCTGCCCAACCATCAGGTGTCTGTGTTAGGCGACGTCAGCCAGGCGCGGTGATGCGCAAACCGGCTTGACGTGGTCCAGGGACGGGGTGCACACTGTAGTGTCCATGTTCACTATCAAACCGCCCGCGACACGCTGCAGGCGGCCCCTTTGCGCCCGACCCCAAGCGGCTCGGCCCCCTGCAGTTTGTGCCGCTGGCTGTGCGCGTCATGGCCACCTGGACGTTCACGACGTTCGTGTATGTGTGAGTCCGAGCGCTGGTTTGGGCCATGGCGCTTGAAGTTGTGAGCTTATGTGTGCGTTCGTGCGTCTGCGTGTGTGTGTGTGCGTGCGCGTGTGTGTGCGTGTGTGTTTTTGTGTGCGTGCGTGCATGTGCATGTGTGTGTGTTTGTGAGTGTGTGTGTGTGTGTGTGTGTGTGTGTGCATGTGCATGTGCACGTGGGTGTGTGTGATCATACATACGTACACTGCAACGGTCTTGTTCCGTCCTCGCGTGGCACGATTGTGAATCAACGGCAGAGTGCAGGTTGAGTTGAGGCGGTCGCAGCTGAACCAGTTGCACCCAAGCCTCCACTGAAAACATCAAGCCCTGCCCCCGCGTCCTGCGTCCTCCTACTATGCCGCGACCCCAGCCCCCTGGCGCGGCGCCTGACGGCTTTTGAGAACCACCGCGCAGCAGCTGAGCGGACGTCGTCTCTGCAGGCCAAGCGCTACGCGTTGCAGGCGCGCGCACGCTCGCGCCTGCCCCAGCCGCGGTCTCGCGCAGGGGGATGCGAGGTTGTGCCAGTGACGGGGTTGCTGTGACGTTTCCATGCCTCTGTGGATGATGTGCGGTGCATCACTTGCACTTGTGCGACTATTCACTTCAGGCCCTTCCAATTAACTGCCACAAGCATGCGTCCTACCCCAACCCACCCCAAACGCCCCGCATGCAGGCGCTCCTCGACTTCTCTCCCTTCCTCTACCTCGCCCTCTTCACCGCCGGCGGCCTGCCCGCCGCGCGGCGCGACGTCGGAAGCTTCTTCCTGGCGGAGGGAGCACGTCGCATAGCGACAGACTGGCTGATGCCGCTGGCGCTGCGCTGGCTCCGCAGTCGCGCCTTGGCACGCGCGGGCGGGGGCGTCTTTGGCGGCGGCGGCGCGGGTGGGGGGAGGACTGCAAAGGGGAGGACGGCTGGCGGCGCAGGGGCCGAAGAGGGCAGCGGCAGCGACGCGGCCTGCGTCGAAGGCAGCAGCAGCAGCAGCTCTGGAGCCAGGCGGCGGCGTCAGGGCCGCCAGCCGTACGCAAACGGCGCGGGCGGCAGCCCAGAGGGCGGCAGCGGCGGCGCCGGCGGCGGCGGGCCTGCCGCGGCGCTGCTGCGCCTCGCGGCGGCCGACACGGCACGCCCGCCGCTGCCTGATGGCGGCAGCATGTTTGAGGACGTGGCGGCCCTGGTGCGCGACACGGGGCTGGCCGCGGTGTTCGCGTCCGCGCTGCCGCTGGGGCCGCTGCTCTGCCTGGGCCTGACGGCGCTGCGGCTGCGGCTCGACGCCCTGAAGCTGCTCGACGGCTGCCGGCGGCCGGCGCCGCGGCGCGCGGCGGGGGTCGGGAAGTCGTGGCGCGCGGTGATCGCCTGCCAGGTGCGGCAGACCGCGCGCGCACGCAGACAGGCCTGACTTTCGGCCGGCGACGAGTCGCTTTGAGTTTGCGCGCAAGGGATCGATGAACAGCAAACAGACCTGACACCGCATTTTGCACTGAATCTCTGCTGCTTCCTCCAGTGCTTGCGATCCCAAGGTATCTGCCTTACGGGGACCTCCGCTCTGACCGAAACCCCCATTCCGCACGCCGTGCTGCGCCGCGCGCAGGTCCTGGCCAGCATTCTGTCCACCTCCCTCATGGCCGGCCTCGGCAGCCGCCAGCTGCAGACCCTGCTGCCTCCAGCCCTGCAGGACGCCGCCGCGCAGGTTGCCCTCTCGGCGGCCTCCCCCAACAAGCTCGTGGATCCCCCAGGGCCCTCTTTCCCACACTCACAAAGCGGCTCCCCTCCCACCGACGCCGCCGACGCACTCTCCCGAGCCGCGTTGGCGGCTGCCGCGGCCGCGGCGGCGCTGGACGGCGCTGCGGAGGGCGGCGGCGGCGGCGGCGGCGAAGGGGGCGCCGTGTTTGTCGCGGCGGTGTCGGGCGCGCACATCGGGGGCCCGATGGTGCTCGCGCGGCCGGGGCCGCTGCTGCTGGCTGTGGTGCTGGAGCACGTTCTTCTGATAGCCGTGCTGCTCATCCACTTCTGCATACCTGACGAGCCGGAGGCCGTGAGGGCGGCCGCAGCCCGCCTTCAGCTTGAAGCGCGCCAGAAGCGGGTTTCGTCCGACGGCTGGGGGGCGGCCGCTGCGGCGCCGGCGCCGGCGGCGATGCGGCTGCGGGCCATGAAGGGTGGGCTGCCGCCAGCTTTGCCGCCTGCTGGGTAAGTTTTCAGGGCCCAGGAGCAGGAGCAGCAGCAACGGCAGCAGCGGCAGCGGCAGCGGCAGCGGCAGCGGCAGCGGCAGCGGCAGCGGCAGCGGCAGCGGCGGCGGCGGCGGCGGCGGCGGCGGCAGCGGCAGCGGCAGCGGCGGCAGCAGCAGCAGCGGCAGCGACGGCGGCGGCGGCAGCGGCGGCAGCAGCAGGAGCAGCGGCAGCAGCAGGAGCAGCGGCAGCAGCAGGCTGCATGGCGCGTGTGTGGGCATTTGGGGTCACTGGCAACCGCCATTAATGTGTGCTGAAGCGTGTGGCTACATGTAATACTCTGGTGTACAATGGCAGGCGCTGGAGCCAGCCGTTCACCGCCGTGCCGCTTCATGGAGCCGCCAGTCGCAAGCCAGCGGCTTCCTCAAAGCACGACACAGCTGCAGGTGTGCCGCCGTGGCAGCGCAGATGCAGGCGGCCAGGACACGGTGCTGGCTGGGCGATCGAATTGCGTATGTTTCAAGACCCTCAAGGCAAGTTGCCACTGCTGCACTCAGTGCTTTGAAGCGCGCAGCCCCATGTTCCAGAGCGCACAGCGGCAGGAATGCATTTGGCAGTCGTGAGAGCGGTTGAATTTTCAAGCTTTTCTGCCCACTCCGGTAAGCGTTCATGCTGCCCGTTGCAATTCGCAAGTGTATGCTGGTCCGTGCAGTTCAGTAGTGAACAGTTGTCAGACCTCGCACATCCCTGTGGCATAGCAATACACACCATTGCGCGAGTGGCTCAGCAGGCCCAGCCGTAAGAGCCGCAGGCACTGCCAGGGCACAGCCGTCCGCGCTTGTGCGACAGCAGCGGTGTCAGCAGGGTGTGTCATGTTGGCCTGCTGCCGCTCAAGTGCATCCTCGATCACAAGCACATCCAAATTTGCGGCAGTACTACTGGCTGGTTACACAGGTTCTTGAAACAGCGGCAGCGCCCACGTCCGGCCGCTTGCAATGACTGCAGAATGAAGTGTTTAGGCTTCAGTTCAGGAGGAGTCCACAGAGGTGAATGAGTATGGTACGAGGTGCAGCCACACAGAAGCTGCCGCCCACAAGCAGCCTGGCCATCATCTCAAAAGCAAAAAGGACAGCACCCATTCAAACCAGCTGTCTTGCGCTCACACCATCCTCAGCTCGGCCACAGAGCCCTGGCGCAGGGGCACCCAACAACCGTGGGCGGCACGCACCCATCAGTCTCACGCTACACAGTCAGAGTGCCCCGCCGCAGCCGTCACGAATGTGGTCCGCACCTCATTCAATGAGCAAACCAAAAACTGAGGTTGAAAAAACACAGAAATTCTTCAAGTGCTGATGAGTTTGCTCCTGGCCAGCATGCGACCGGTTTGGCAGGTGACCAACTGCGCCACACCTCTCGAGGACAAGCGAGGGGGTGGCAACCGATTGGATAATGTCAACGCGTGCCCGCAGTAACGAGAATCACAAGTGGTAAGTGCACATTCCAACGGGCCGGGCGCACCGGCACTCTCCCGTCGGTGCGTTGTGGAAGGCTCGATCACCGCAGCACAGCAACCGTTGGTAGGCAAAGCCTGTCGTGCGCAATTACACAGTGCGTGGCCCTGCCTTGGATAACATCAAAGCTTATCACCTGCGGCGCAACAGGGGCGATTACATAAAGCGAGTGAGCATGTGATTTCTGGTGTTGAGGTTAAGCTCAATTTGGCTTGTGCTTCATTACACCTTCCCCCCCATCCTTGCAGTGATGCAGCACAGCACACAGCCACAACAGAATGCAGCTGGTCTACAATGCACACCTAATCATCTTTTGACGTGGTGCAACACTCGTCAGCGGCCGCTGGGCACTGCAGGTGGCAGCCCGAGGCAGCCTCCAGGGACCGTGTCGCCGCCAACGTTGCGACAAACATCGTTGCCTGCACCAGCGGCAGCACCCAATGCCTCGGGCTGCCAGGGTCCGGCGCCCCGCCAGGGGGCAGCGAGGGCGGCGGCCAGCAGGGCGCCGCTGCGCCGCAGCTGCAGGGCCCGCCAGGAGCGGCATCCGGTCCGAGGACGGCGCCGCCTTGTTGGTCGTCAACTACAACGAGGCCGCCGCCGTCCATCAGCACACGCCACACCTCAGAAAGCACGTCCGGTCCAGCCAAACCTGCTTGCATTTTAGAGGGGCACGGTTGGGCAGGGCCGTGCCGCCATCGGGCGCCGCCACCGGGCGCCGCCATCGGGCGGCGAAACCGGCGCGGCTGTGGTGGCGCGCTCACGGATGTAGGGCATGCACTGCTGGGTAAACAAGGGCACACCTGCAGGCACCGCCTTGGGCTGAGCGCTGCAGAGCAAGCAAAGAAGGGACTCACGGTGGAAAGCACCGTCGACAAGCACGGCACCAAAAGTGGCGCCGTCATACGGCAGGCGCTGCGTCGCCTCGAGCGGATGTCCATCTGTTCCTGCTGCCGGCGAGGCAGATGAACTCGGGGCGATGATATGCGAAGCGTCCAGGGTAGTCACAACGAATCCCAGACGGCTGAGGTAATCGACAAGCTCTGCGCTGCCTGCCAAGTCAAGTACACGGGCCGCTGTTGGAGGGGCGCTCGCAGCGACGAGCTCTTCATCACCAGGCTGCGCCATGACCCCTGAGCCTCGGGCCCCACAAATATGGCTGCGGTGACTTTTGTAGCGTGTTCACTGCCTCGTGACCTATGCTCGAGACGTTTTCGTACTGTTCTGTCAAAGTTGCGACGATAGGCACTACCAGCATCAGCAATGCAGCGTTGTTCAACGATGTCTTTCTGACAGGGATACGCAAATCATGTTCATGCGTGTTCTGTATGCTGGTGTGACAAAACTCTTCGAGGGAGTGCGTGGTGACGGTCATCCATCCGCAAGCGGACCCATGGGATCACCGTGGCTTCCGCGCAGCTGTCGACTCCGCCTGGATCGCGCCCGATGCTTACTCGTTTGACCTGTCAAAATCAAGTCAGAGAAGTCACATCATAGACCGTTTTTTGACATCAAAGTATCTATGTTGCGCTGCTGACAACCAGCCGGCAGCCGCGCGCGCATGGCCATGCGCCAATGGCACAGGTTCCGCGCAGGTTTGAGCTGGAACATCAATGGTGGGGACGGTGCGCGGCATACAGCGCTCGGCGAGGCAATGGTGAGACCAGATACACGCATGTCTTTTGTCACAAATCTCGTCTCACACGCAGCCATTTATGCAGGCTCGAAGTCATAGAGGCTGTCTCACTCCCGCCACATTGAGTATCACCACCAGAAGCAACAGATGGCTGTGACGACCTTGGATTGGGGACATAAGCACTCGATCTTGGCGGCTGGGTGTGCCGGCGGCATGATAAGACACGAACGGCAGAGGCGCACTGGACAATGCGCACATAAACATGCATGGTGGTCGTCGGCACAAGTGCCCGCGCCGCACACATGTATGCTTCAGCGTGATTCAAACAGGACACCATGCTCAAGAGGCATCAGCCGCCTTGCTGCAGCGACCGGCCATGCCAGCATCAAACGCAGCAGCCGCGCAGCCGGAAGTCACCATTGTTGCAACGTTTGGGAGCTGGATCCCACGACCTTCTACGTACCAGCTGCGCCGCTAGGGGGCGTTGTTTCACAGTCACCTGCCCCACCCCCACTCAGCCATCCACTCAGCCATCAGCATTGGCGCCCACGGGGTGACCGCTGCGTGGTTGGGGTGGGTTTGTGGAGGAGAGCAGGGCGGCAGCGTGTGGGAGGATAAATGCGGGCGTGCAAGCAGCGTAGCAGGATTCTGGACGTATGTAAAGGATGAGGGGCGAAAGGGGATTGGGCTCAGATGGCTTGTGTGGCGATGCTCACTGCCACTGCCCACCAATTCACCAGACCAATAAGCTGGCTGGGCAACAGAGAGGTACCTCTCGCACCACAGGCGTGGTGCGAAGGGTTGACAGCCCATGGCGTCACTGAGGCTGATTCATGCCACAAGGATCCGGCGACTGTGGTTCAAAATGACAAGGAGACAGAGCAAACTAAGCAGGGCCCATTCGACCATGTTGTAATGCTAAGGTGTTGCGGCGATGCCTTGCAGCGTTGGATCAGTGTCAACAGTGCCGGAGCACGGGTCGGTCAGGATGCAATTCCAGTCATCCCCTGATATTTGGCATGAGTAGCAGGGCATGCAGGGACGAACATCCACGTGGATCCCTGAATGTCAGCCAAAACAATGTGCAGAAAACGTTGACATGCTCAACATGCCGCTGTTGCCCATTCAGGTGCCTCGCAAGGCCAGCATGGATGCACCAGGAAGTCTGGCGCGTTCGTGATGTGGCCCCTTGCACCCTTTGTGCTGTAAAACAAGCAAGGATTCACACGCTCTCGGAACCATCACTTTGTACCAGCAGTGTGGCTCGAGCGGCTCTTGACCGCTCCTTGACCGATTTTTGCTATGGCCCTGCTTCCAAGCTTTGGGTCTCGCATTCAAAGCTGTGACCTCTCGCGCAATTGATTACACTGCGTGCATCAGAACGAGGCGCGTGAGCAAACTCAAAACAGGCTGGAGCACGGCACAACCACAGCCACCGTTGCACGCTATGCAGTCACTGCGGTCTCACACGCTGATGGCACGGTGCCATAGATGGCATCTGACAGCAGCGCGCGCAAGCGGTGCTCCAAGGCCGCGGGTGTGCGGAGCCCACCACTCAGAGCGTGGGGGGGCTGAGCAGCATGCGGCGAGCCAAGCAAACGAGCTATTGGATGTGATAGAATCAACCAGCCGCGCCAACTCGAACAGCACATCCTCGTTCAGCGGTCGCAGCGTGCACGACGCAGCGCGCGGCGCAGCAGCGCAACCGCACCAGCATGCCGAGCTCCAGCAGCGGGACCCGCAGCCGCCACTGCGGCGGCGGGATTCGCCGACAGGCACCAGGCTGCTGGCGCTCGCGGCGGCTGCGGGCGGCGTGATGGGGTCCGGCTTTGGCGTTGAGGGCCCGTGGTCAGTTGTGGAGGCGCTGGGTGTACTGGCGGCGATCATTACAATCCACGAGTGCGGCCACTTCCTGGCGGCGCGGCTGCAGGGCATCCACGTCACCGAATTTTCGATTGGGTTCGGGCCGGCTCTCTTCAAGCGCAAGGTGCGCGCGCGGCATGGTGCGGCGGCCCTGCCCCTGCAAGCTTGCAGCGCCTGCAGGACACCCGAGCCCGCTTCGCACGCGCGTCCCCTCCGCCACGCCGCTGGCGGGGCGCTTGCTCAACCCATCCATGCGGCTGCGGGATGCGAAAATTCGCAGTTTGAGGGCGGGTCCGTCGAGTACTGCCTGCGCGCGGTGCCCCTGGGCGGCTACGTGGCCTTCCCCGATGACAACCCAGAGAGCGGCTTCAAGGCGGACGATCCTGGTGGGTTGAATGATGAGGGCGGCTTGATTTCGAGCCCATGCATGCTGCACCTCGACAGCAGTGCGCCCGCGCGCAACCAGCGGCTGTCGTGGGCCGGTATCACCCGCAGCTGCGCCGCCAGGGTCTTGCCTGTTTGATTCACGTCCGCTCAAGCGCCGTCTGCTGCATCCCGGCTGGCGACGAGCTTCATGGGGAGGGGCGGGGCAGCTGCTGGGCAGCTGCAGCCGCAAGGCAGGCGGCTGGTCTGCGCCCCCACCCTCAGCCCGGTCGCGCGCGGCACAGCCACCCACATTTTCACCCCACGGCACGCGCGCAACGCAGACCTGCTGAACAACCGCCCCCTTGGGCAGCGCGCGGTCGTCATCAGCGCGGGCGTCATCGCAAACATCATATTCGCGTTCGCCGTGCTCTTCGCCCAGGTCAGGCCGCGCGGGGGCGAGGGGGACAGGGCAGGCCGCGCGGGGGCGAGGGGGACAGCAAGGGGGAACGGATTTGCAGTGTACGGTTGGTTCACCCTCCAAATCCAGCCCGCTGGTGGCAAGCCTCCCAAATGTGGCCTCCCACTGGTCGCCGGGCCCTGCCTGCCGCCTGGCGGCGTATCTGGTCCCATCTGTGACGGCTCAACCGCACCACCCTGGCCCCCGCCCCCTCGCCCAGATCAGCACAGTGGGCAAGGCCGAGAGCGCGTACCTGCCAGGGGTGCGCGTGCCGGACGTGACGCCGGGCGGCGTGGCGGAGCGCGCGGGGGTGCGCGCAGGGGACGTGCTGCTGCGGGTGGGCGACTACACTGTCCAGGCGGCGCCCGACCAGGTGGGCGAGAGGGCCAGGCGCCTCTGGGTCGGTGGTGGTGTTGGTTGTGCGCTGTGCGGGGTGCTGGCTGGCACCGTGGTCCGAACGGGTGTGCCGCGTTGTCTTGCAGTGGCGGAATGCAAGTGGCTTGCGTGATTGCGGGGTGCGTCGGGGGAGGTCCTTATGCGGTCACGCAACACCCGTGCACGCGCAAACACATTAGCACACACCTCAGCGTACGCACGCCCGCGCTACCTTGGGCATGCACACCAACATGCGCACGCATGCGCACCAAAACACGCACGCAAATGCACACTTGCTACCCCCCATCAGGTGGCCGCGGTGGTGACCGCCATCAAGTCGCACCCCAACGAGCAGCTCGAACTGCTGGTGCAGCGCAGCGACCGCTCCCAGGTGTCCCTGCCCGTCGTGCCCATCCCTGCGCGCGACGGCAAGGGCGCCATTGGGATCAGCCTCTACACCAACAGCTACATTAAGCACACCAAGCCTGACAGCCTGCAGGGCATGTAAGCATGGGCGCGCGGGCCCTGGGAGCCGCAGGAGCGGCTGGAGTCGCGCGGCTGCAGCTGCTGCTGCTTTCAAACATGGCTGACAGCGTGGAGGGGGGCGTCATGGGTCCAGACGTGCACTCTGCAAAACTCTGGTCTGTGGCAGCCTCTGTTCGCGCTTGCGATCTGGGCTCCTTCACCCCATTGCGACGTCGCCCGCCCCCCTCATGGTGTTTCTTGGGGAGCCGCGGCCCGTGCCTGCGGCGTGCATCCCGCACCCCCACTGCCCTGCACGCTCCCTTTGAGCCTCCTACCATTCCGCCACCCCGCTCTCCCCGCAGCCTGGCCGTCACTACCTCCGAGTTCACGCGCATCTCAGGCGTTGTGCTGGGCGGCCTCAAGTCAATCTTCACAAACTTTGCCGGCGTCGCGGACCAGCTCAGCGGCCCTGTGGCCATCGTGGCGAAGGGGTCCGAGATCGCGCGCACAGACTCTGCAGGTGGCGGGGGCAGGCGGGCTGCCAGCTGGGAGCACGCTCAGGGGGCGCGCGGGGGGGCTGGGGCGTCAGGATCGTCCCTTTGTGCGCATGTGCGTGCTTTGCGGGTGTGCATCCTTGCTCGCTTGGACGGCAAGCGCCTCCCCACTCTCAGCCGTTGTTTTCACGCGCGCTGCAGTCCCCCCTTCTCAGTCACACCCCACTGGCCCCTCCTACGTTCCACCTAACAATGAACCCCCCTCCACCCCGCGCAACACCCTCCCCCACACCCGTCACCAGGCCTATTCCAGTTCTGCGCCATCGTGAACATCAACCTGGCCGCGGTCAACCTGCTCCCCCTGCCTGCCCTCGACGGCGGCTACCTCCTGCTGCTCGCGGTCGAGGCGGCCCGCGGCGGCAAGCGGCTGCCGCAGTCGCTGGAGCAGGGGGTCATGGCCAGCGGCCTGCTGCTCATGATGTTCTTGGGGGTGGGGCTCGTCATCCGCGACACGATGAACCTGCTGTGAGGGGGCCGCCCCGCCGCTTTGTGGTGCGGCCGCGGGCCGGCGGCGCCCGTGCGGCGCGTCGTTGACTGCAGCTCGGGCAGGCTATACCTTTGCAGGGCGCACACCCTGCGGCGGCCTGCTTTTTCAACACCTTGCATGCGTGCGTGTGTGTGTGTGTGTGTGTGTGTGGCGCTGGACCGCGGTTTGGGGGCTGTATGAGAGCGTAGGGAGTGGCGCGTCACTGACTGGTGTCAGGGGTAAGCTTGTACATTCCTGTGTTTTCGCTTGTACGATTGTGTGGCGCCGAGCGTTCTTGCCATTGTATATCTTTCGCCGTGTTTGCTGAGAGGACAGCCAAGGGATTTGCAACGCAAGCTTCCAACTGCGAGCGCAGCAAGGAGCTTTTGGCACAGTCGCCCGCATGCGCATGTCAGCGCGAGCGCCACGCCGCCCGCCAGGAGGCTAATTAACAGGCTCGTGCCTGCGAGCTCACTGGAACGCATTCTTCGATTGTAAACACTGTGTTGCACAGCAGGATCGCAATCACAATAACAGGACGTCAAGTGCAGGGGTGTCGACGCAATGCAGCCATCAGCAGACTCAAGCATCCAGGCTGATCTAGCTGCTGCCCAGGCCCCTGCCGCACCCTCAGCAACCGCAGATGATCAGTCGGGCTTTCCATCCCTGCCTTGGTAGACAGGTCCCAGAACAATGTTTGAGAAGCTCGGCTGCAAAATCAGCCGAGCCGGAGGGCACCTCAAAACAACAAAGCCAGCGACCCCAAGTAGCGTCAGGGCGGACTTGGCAAATGGTGAGTGGGGCCCAGAGTGGGCGACGGCGGCAGGGCGCGACGGGCAGCGGGCGGTGAGGATCCAAGGGGCGAGCGGCTGTCAGCATGCTAGCGCCCTGCACACTAAAGTAATTGCATAGCAATATTTTCACACAAGATGTTGTGCCTGCTGGCATCAGCCCAGTGGTTCAGTGCAGTGGGGCGGGTGCTCGCCGAAAGGTCGTTATTCAGACCAGGCTGTGGCAGTCATACACTGAGAAATCTAGGCTTTTATTTAAACCAGTGAGATTCGCGGACCACGACGACACCAAAGCGAGAGCCAGAGGTGGGCCTTCCAGTCAGCTGCTGTACTGAGCGCAAGAAACCCCATTCAAGCGCGATGCCCCAAACGCTCCGATTACACGACCAGACACGTGCAAGACTCCATTGACATACACTCATCTGCCGCGCACACATCCGCCAGAGACGATCTGACGCTGTCAGGCTGTCCCTAGCCAGCAAAGGTATGTCGGAAGGGCGGATGATGTACGATTGCTACCTTCGCGTTCAGCTTGGCCTCTGAGACTCCAGTTTTCGGCTGGTGCTGTCGCATGCACATGCTGACCGGGCGCTCGCCCACCCGCCGACCCCTACTGCGCTGCTCCTGAACAGCTCAGCATTCAGGCTCTTGCATCCACCATTGCAGCGTTGCGATAAATCACATCAAATGGAGCAGCTTAAGCAACTGGTAGCAGCGCAGGCGGTGCGCAACAAGCACCTGCCCAAGGAGGCCACACACAAGGGTCAGTCGGCTGCGCGCCTCTGGACTAAGCATGCGCGTAGCCCCGCATGCTCGCAAGGCACCACCTGGGGCAAGATCCTCCAGGATTATGGGAGGCTCGCGTGCGCAAGCGTCGTACGTGTAACCACTGTGTCGGCTTGGGCACGCGCTGCTGAGCTTTCTCACCCCTGCTGCGCCGACTGGCATATCGCGTGCCGCCTCCTCCAATACATGTACACCCCTGTTCGCAGACAAGCTGGAGCAGACCAAGCTGGCGGAGCGCGCTCAGAAGGAGGCGGCCAAAGCGGAGCGCGAGAAGCACAAGGTGGAAAAGGAGGAGGTGCGCGGGTGGGGGTCGGGGCGATCTGCCGAGAGCGATCTTTGCGCGGCTGGCGTGGCGGGCGGCTGGTTGAATGGGTACCGCCTCAGGGGGCGATGCCATGCACTCATGTGATATAACGCCGGCTGCATGCTCGGCATAAGTGGGACAGGGTGGCGATTGGTGGAGCCGGGCGCCAGCAGAAGTGTTCGGGTCAGAGTTGTGGTGGGTGCCCCGGGCAAACGCTCGTCCCCCATGAATCGTCTCCCGCCCAGCTTGGCCTCGCTTTGCACCCCTCCAGGAGCGACTGGCCAAGGCCGCCGCTGAGCGCATCGACCGTGCCTACTTCCACCCCGACTCCAAGCGCACCCAGAAGGACGAGAGGGTGAAACCCCCGCACGGACCCCCTCCCCCCTGCGCACTGCAGTGCTGCGTCGGCGCTGCCATCGGGCTGTGGGGGACCCAGTGCTGATGTTTCTTCAGGCCCCCTAATGCTCGAACGCTCTGCGTCTCTGCATGCCTTGAACCGGCTCGCACTCTTTAAGACAACATCGTCTTGCCCCGGCCGTCGCCGTCGTGGACCGCTCATTGTTGATGTCGCTGTGCAGAAGCACCGCGACAAGGAGGCCCATGAGGCGACGGGGGATTACTGCGAGCACGGCGTCTGGCGTTGCAGGTGGGTGGCCTCTTCGGCCGCGGGGGCGGCCGGCGGTTGACGACCAGCTGAGCCGCTCAGGTTTGCGGCCGGCAGCTGGCACCATGCCTTGCACGCATTGCCACAGAGCTACTTTGCGGGATTCCGCACGCAGTTTGCGGATCACTTGATTACATGCTGTACAAATGGTTGAGCATGTGTGTGCTGTGGGTGCTCATGCTTTGTCTTCTTGCCCTCCCCAGGATTTGCCACCCCGTCACCAAGCACAAGTGATGATCTTCGACGACAGCGGTGGCGACAGTTTTGAAGGAGTCGTCAGCAGCATCTTTTGTACAGGCGCAGGAAGACGGACGAAGTAGCGCGTTTGCGCGTGCATCCTTGTACTGTACCATGTTCAACAGGCTTTTTGCGGGCGTTGGGCAGCTTGTCGGCTGTGCCAGGCCAGTGCCTCGAGGCGTCCACAAGCATAACCTATGTAACACTCATGTACTTTCGCAAGTGCTTCACCACGGCGGATCAGAGTGTTTCTCAAGGGCGGCTCATGCGTCAATCGTCCTGCCTGTCCTGCCCCTGAGGGGATTTGGATGGTTGGAGGCCCCTTCAGTTCCTGCAACCTCCATCACCCGTGTCCGTCGAGGTAGAGCCATCGTACCGAAAACTTTATCACGCGTCATTTAGCTATCACACCGCCTTGGCGGTGCTTTGTGCGTGCAGCGAGGCAAGATGAACTCGGACGCCGACCGTGTCCCGATCACGGTGGTCACGGGATTTTTGGGAGCTGGCAAAACCACTCTGATCAACTACATTCTCAAAGGTGCGCCCTTCGGCGAGATCACTTGGAACCCGCCAAGCAATGGACGCGTATGGGACAGGGCATTGGTCGGATGTATTATTGGGACACCGAAATATTCATTGCGCCTGGTGGCTTCCAAACCAGCGAGGCGGCTGGCAGGGACGGCACCATTGCGCTGCACGCTGTGGTGCTCTGCACACGGCACACCCCATTCCGCACGCACGAAACATGCATCACCGCAGGCAACCACGGCAAAAAGATTGCAATTATTGAGAATGAATATGGAGAGGTGTGCAGGCGCAAGGATCGTGCGCATGGTGTGGGCAACCGAGACCCTGGACTGAGCAGCTCAGCAGCAGCACAGTCGCCATGCCCTTGTGCCGTCCGTCGCCGTTCAGGGATGGCACATTTTCATGGTTGTTTGGGCTTGCAGGCTGGCCGTGAGTTTGGCTCAGTGTGACGCCTGGCGTGCGGCCGATGTTGCAATATTGATGGTATTTGTGCAGGTGGGAATTGACGACGCCCTGGTTCTGGAGACCAAGGAGGACATCTACGAGATGAACAACGGCTGCCTCTGCTGCACAGGTAGGGCCAGCGCTACATACTCCAAATTTTTTTTCTCGCTCACAAGCAACGGCGGCAAAGGCGGCGGCCGTGGCGGCGGCGCAGCAGAGCGCACAGCTGTGTCATTAATCCGGCTGGTGTGCCGCTGTGGCCTGGCCGGCCACAGCGCGCCACACATACGCCTTCAACTTGACACTTGGACGCGGAGCATGACGTGATGCGCTGCCCGCCGGCTGCGTCTCTGCGCCTCGCCACCCAGGCGTGCTCGCTCACGTGCCTCAGCACGGAAGTGGTGGGATATTCCTCTGCACATTGCATGTTGACGCTCTGCGGGGCAGCCTTCCACAGCCCTTGCTCGCCCCCCGCCCTGCTCCCCTCTCCTCTCAAAAGTGCGCGGCGACCTGATCCGCATCCTCAACAAGCTGCTTCGGCGCCGCAACAAGTTCGATTACATCATGATTGAGACCACCGGCCTGGCAAACCCCGCGCCTGTTATCCAGGTGATGAAGCAGCGGCAGCAGGCCCCTGCGCGCTTGCAGCAGTGCTCTTGTGTTTTCCTTTTGGGGGGGGGGGCAGCTGGCAGCGGCAAGCAGGGCTTCGGCGAGGTGCTCAGGCCGAGCTTGGTGTTGCCTGAGCTACCACAGACTGTTTTAAGAGCACTCAGCAACATGCGCGTGCACGCATGAGCACTATTAGCTGCACTCTCCTCCCTCTCTCTCTCTTGCTCACACACACACACATGCACATACACACACGTTGCACGCACGGCGCCACCCCTCCCCTTCTCTCTCGTCCCGCGCGCCCGCCCCCACCACACC